CCTTCAAGTTTGCAAACTCTGCAAACTCCTTTAGGCAGGTAAGGAACAATGTCATTGCCTTGTCGTAACGTGTACTCCAGAACACATTCACTGGACCAAAGCTGTGTTACACAAAACATCAGTTATGATGCTACATTATCCAGCTACAGGATAACAGTGTAATTGCTTCAATATATGGATTGAGATATACTCTACTGACCTAGACGGAAACTTAAACACTTTATTTCAAAATATTTTGAGAACATGGAGTTTGTGCGGGATCATAAAGTTCACAAAGTACTTTGGAATTGGACTCTATAATTGATATCTCGTCGAAACAAAAAGTGGAATCAGCATAACAATTATGTTAAAACTCAAAAGCACTGTTTTACACTTACAGCTCATAAGTATTGTTACTGCTGTCCATTATCCGAGGGTAACTTCCCATGGGGAGAATTTTGATGCGATATCTAGTAGAGATGAATTAAGGAATAAACGTGGAAAAGGGATGAAGTCATTGGTAAGGTCAGGTTAATTTCAGTTCAGAAAGTTCAAATATTATACTAAAAGAAAGAACATATAAAGTTGGCATACGAACTCAAACTAAGCCCATTAGTGCAATCGGGCCACCAAACCACTAATAGTAAAACTATATCACACGACTGGTAGAAATTGTACGAAAAACATCCAACTGTAAGAATAGGATACGGAAATTTTGGCCGGAAGTATTGAGCCATAGTGTGAAGGAGAAGGCAAGCTTGGCCCCATGCAGCATTAATCTCATCCCACTCAACCTTAACAAACTCAGTAGAAAAGTTTAATTAAAAAGTGATTCTTCAAATTTTAAAATGCCAAAGCGCAAATCACCCATAAGCGAATTACATACTTGAACTTTTGGAAGTCTTCCCAGGCGGAAATTGTTAATAGTTCCAAAGTCCCCATCATACCAAATAGGGAAGGCATCATTTAGCACATTAGTACGCTTCAGCAGCTCTAAATGAGCCTGGGAGACTTCAATCTTGGCCAAAACTGCATCCCGCTCTTCCTATTCACCAAATAATTTTAGACAAAATAAAAAAGCTATTGCTATAATAACGGTTCAGAAAACAGTATTTTTTTCCACTGATATATCTTTATAGACAGTAGCTAGCACTACTGATGTTGTCCGTCAGGCGGAACATGACAAATGAATGAAGGACAACTGAAACGAACCTGATGTGAAATCAGTTGAAACTGGAAATTATTAAACTCCAGCCAGTATCTGTGCAAGAGAAGACTCATAATTAGAATAATTCACAACAACCAACTCAAATACACAGGTTTTTCATGGGAATTACCGCTCTTCTAACTCTTTAAACCGGCTAGACTTCAACTCCAGTTCCTTCAGTTCAGCTGTTACCTCTGAGCATTGTTTCTCAGTTTCTGCAATTGCTGCTTCAAGTTTTCGTTCTTCTTCTTCTATCTTTCATTACAACAAAGTATCAGGACACAATCGCTTGTAACAGCAAAATCTCAGGAGAAATTTGCAAAGTGATTTGATTGTTTCAGCTTTAATTTGATTAAAAAGTTTTAAGTTTCTAACAAATGCATCATATAATCGTATGTTTTCTGCCTTTCCGGGCATCTGGTCTTCATCATGGGAATCGGCCACGCAAAATTACTTCATAACAGACTTGTCAAAGTGTTCACAGGTAATATTTTTTAAAAAATAAAAAATGTATATATTAAATAAATATCACAAAAAGATTGGGCAACAAGACCTTCAATTTCTCCTTAAGAAATTCGGCCTCACTAAGAACAGTCTTTGCTTCCCCCTCCAAACGTTGAAGACAAGCTTCATACGCTTTGATGTCCCTGTCCACATCTTCCACCTCCTTATCAAGTTTATCAGACAAAACCCGCATGCACTCAAGACATAAAGGCTGCTCAACCTGCCAGGAGAACGAAGATAGTTACAAAGGAATAAAAATTTGACAATGAAAACAGCATGCTTCTAACATGGATGATGCGCATGAAAGAAAAAATTTCATTTTCACAATAAACAAGGACATTAAACATCAGGAAACACCTGAGTCTGTGTTGTGGCTATCTCAAACGCCCGATTCAGGATTGTAATGGTGGAGTGGAAGCCCGAATTATGCGGTTGAGTAGGAGAATCAATGGGCCCACCATCAGGCGAAGGCAAATTCGTCCCGCCTCCATCAGCTCCAGGTTCACATTTATACACTGAAGCAGCCGGTGGAGGTAACACAACAAACGACTCGTCTATTGCTTTCCCAGACTGGCTAACCTCAGGATGCAAAGGCCCACCTCGAGGTCGAGGAGGAACTCCGGGCGACTGATTCCTTTGCTTTGGCAATACTACAAAAGAGTGGTCCATCCGAGTTGAGCCTACAACACTACCACTTCCAAGGATTGAAGAACCTTGCATTCCTGTACATTAGCACATTAGCAAAGCATAATTGAACTCGACGACGGAGATATCATTTCTCAAGGAAAGCACATTAGCAAAGCATAATTGAACATAAGAGTGATTTGAGTACAGAATTCCTTAGCTCAATTCAAGTAAAGACTAAAAGGGGGAAATAATAAAATTAACAGTTAGATGATTTCATTAAACAGAAAAGTCTGACCTGGAGCTAGGAACTTGTCGACGTGCGAGTCGACGCCGACCATGCAGAGGCTGTGGCGGCAGTTCTGGCAAAGGAACCGCGGGAGATTCGGGTCAGCAGGAAGGGTCCGACCCTTATCCGAAATATTGGCTCCGCTGCCATTTTTCTTCATCTCAAACTAAATGTCCTTCAAACTGACAGAATTGCAGAATTAACAGCCTCCACTGTAATATCGATCCTCGCAAACTGACCAGCGTGATTTACTTGGCAATTGTTGTAGCAAAAATACAGAAATAGAGAAATTCTTCGTGAATATTGAAAATTACGGAGACTTCCTACTATATCTCAGATGACATGAAAGACCAGACATTTTCTCCATCTTTGAAACCTACTATATCTCAAATCAACCCACAAGTTTATCTTCCTCCAATATTTTGAAGATGGTCCCAAATATTAAGGTCAAGAAACAATCAGACGGTAAATCCTCACCGGACGACGGCAGAGCTCCGGCTAAGAGAGAACAGTAAATCAAAGAAAACCAATTCCCGGCACAACGAAAACCCTAAGATGGAACATAAATGAAATCGTACTTCAACTCAAGGAAACCCTAGACAGAGAAACCAAGCGCCCGAGCTTGGGGAGGTTCGAGAATGAAGAGATAAATTGAGACATGCGAAAGCAAGCAAGAAAAGATATGTCGTACACCTCTATCTCAGCAGATTTCCCTCTCTTCACAACGTGCAATACTCCTTAAGCTGAAAGAAGCATTCCCAATTTTTTAATTGCTTAGGTCATATAGAACCGAAAAATTCAAATTCAAACCCATTTTGCAGTAACTATTCAATTTTGCAGTAATTTATTTTCATAATATTCTCTTTTAGACCAACTTTTATAACTTTTTAATACTACTCACATATTTTACAACTTTACAAATTAAACCACACTATTATTTAAAATTCAATTTGGACTTTATGTAATTAAAATTAGTTATACATAATAAAATCGGAGAAATAAATATTCATTAAAAATTAAAATTTCACCACACAAATAAAATTAATAATTACAGTTTGATGAAAAATTAAAAATTACAACACACAAGATGAAAAATTAAAAATTACAACACACATGAAAATTAGAAATTACAACACGCAAAATGAAAATTAAATATTACAACACACAAGAAAAAATAGAAAATTA